AGTCAGCTTTGCATTACTGTAATGGATTACCTGAGAAAATTGACTTATAAAGAAAAAAGGTTTATTTGGGCCCATGGTTCTGGAGGGCCCAGTCCAAGATGGAATGGTTTCCTGGTTACATCATGAGCTCAAAAGCAAAGAGAGAGGACAGGCAGGGTCCCACGGTCCCTTTTTAAAAAATTATTTTCTTTTCATTGTAGTTGGATGCAATACCTTTAATTAATTTATTTATTTTTATGTGGTGCTGAGGATTGAACCCAGGGCCTCGCATGGGCTAGGTGAGCGCTCTACCGCTGAGCCCCATCCCCAGCCCTTTTAATATATTTACAGACAGGGTTTCTCTGAGTTGCCTCAGGGCCTCACTAAGTGGCTGAGGCTGGCTTTGAACTTGGGATCCTCCTGCCTCAGCCTCCGGGCCACTGGGGCGACAGGTGAGTGTCACCTGATGAAATAATCTTTCTTATAAAAACTTTGGGGCTGGGGCTGTGACTCAGAGGCAGAGCACTTGCCTCAAAGGTGTGAGGCACTTGGCCTGGGTTCGAGGCTGGGCTGCTGACCAGGCCTCCCCGCCTCCTCAGGCACAAGGCACGTCCTGGGCCGGCCCTGTGCCAGGTCAAGGTGGGAACCTCCCGCCTGGAGGGGATGTGGGGTGGCGAGTGCAGGCGGGCAGTGGGGCAGCCCTGCTGGTCCCTCAGACCCTCCAGCCTGGCTGCTTGGCCTGGGCGCTTGCCCACTCTGACCCTCAGTCTTCTCCTCTGTGAAATGGGCCCAGGGAGGCGGTGGGGCAGCACTCAGCCCAGGGACAGACCCAGCCCAGGAGGAGGACGGTGGCGCCCCAGCCGCTGTTCTGAAGGAGGCCGTGGGGAGGCCAGAGGGGGCTCCTGGGACTGGCTGCCAGGTGGGCGCCAGGTGAGGACACCATCTTTCCGCCAGATGTCCACGGTCACTTCTGCTCACCGTGACCACCACGTGGTCACCTGTCGACGCCTAGCGGCAAAGAGGGTGGGGAACCAGGTGTCCTGGGGACTCTTGGCCCGGCTCCAAGGCAGGTGGAGCTCAGACCCTTGGGAAGAAACAGGGACAGCGTGGCCAGGGGTGTCCAGGCTGCTGAGTTTAGCAGGGGCCAAGCAGGCGGGGGCCATGGCGAGGGGACGTGGTCAGTTGACAGTGGAGGACGTGGTGGCAGAAGGGCAGGCCCATTCCCCAGCGCAGAGCCGCTGGCTCCTGTCCCCAGCTGGGCTCCCTGAGGGAAGGGACCCGGGCCACAGCGGCCTGGGCTCGCCTGGGCTTCGGCGACAGGACGTGGGCAGCCCCGCAGTGACCACAGCCCTCGTGAGAACAACCACAGAACTTTATTGACCACACCAGGAGCCGGGCTCCGCGACATCCAGGTCGTCGGTGTGAGCTCAAGTATCAGGCAAGGCACAAAGGTCCCCGTCCCCAGCTGCAGAGCAGTCAGTGCTGTGCCCAGCCCCACGGTGGGCCCCCGCTGGACCCACAGAGGCTGAGCACACAGCAGACACGTGGCGTGCAGGTGTGGCTGGCTCCAGGCGCACGGTGCACAGCCTGGATCCAGGGCCTGCCCTCCCCGGCCCCAGACCTGGAGGAGGCGCTGGGCACAGCGGGGTCTGAGCTGTCCTCTGGTGGAGTCCCCTCCTGGAGGGCAGGTCCTGGGCGGCCGCCCAGCCTCCTCGAGGCCAGGGTGGGCTCGGGGCCCCCAGGAGGCTGCCCGGCAGTGCAGGGTGGGGGAGGGGATCTCAGGCAGGAGGGGACACCGCGGCGGGGGGACACTGCAGCTGGGGGACACTGCGGCTGTGTCTGGCTCAGGTGGGCCGAGGTATTGAGCGCGGCACAGGAGCAGCAGGGACGCTGGGTCTCTGTGCTAAAGGGACAGCAGAAGGCCCCACGGGGGCTCAAGGACACTCCAGGGACAGGCTCAGGGTGTCCTGGGGGGGGGCAGAGGTCACGCGGAACCAGGAGTTTCTACAAAGACGCAGAGCCCGACTGTCACAGTGGCCCCCAGAGGGGGACGGAGCCGCCCCGGGTGCCTGGCTCTGGGCTCTGGTGTCCAACTGGCTCGGCTCCTGGTGGCGGCTGGGGACAGTTCCTGAGGTGGGCGGGGCTGGCCCAGGACACGGCTGTCCCCGGCCTGTCGTAGCAGCAGCCACAGGAAGAGTCTTCATGGGGAGGAGACACACAGGCCAGGCGCCCCACAAGCCCCAGCGTCACAGGGAGCCCTTCCCTGAGACCACGAGGGTGACAACAAACACGAGGGTGTCCCGGCTCCTGGTGGCCGCACAGAGTGGGCCGCGGGGCTCGAAGGAGGAGGGACACAGCACACTGACCGCGGGCTCCTACCCACGGGGCGCTCGGGAGCTAGTGGGAGGCGTAGGCTGGGCTCCAGAGCCCCGAGGGGGGGCTGCCTCTGCGACCAGGAGGCAGGGCATTGAAGGAGGCCGGAGAGGAGGCCGCTGGATCTAGGGAGGAGGGAGAGAGAGAGTGAGCAAGGGACCCTCTGGGGAGTAGACGTGACTCCAACACTCTTAAGCCAAAAGAAGCATTTATGAAGCGCCTGCTGCATGCCTAGGACGCTTTCCTGATGAGGCCCGAGGCTTCCAGGAGGCAGCAAAGGGAGATCCTCAGGGGTATGATGTGGAGAGGGCGGATGTTGAGATTATGCAGTGCCCAACCTGTGCAGCTGTGTAGGGCGCCCCTGTGTCTCCTGTTCCTATTCAGGGGCTCACCCCCTGTAAAGGGAGCCCCTGGGTTATTTCCCCACTAACCCTCTGGGGTGTGGACAGGCTTCCAGGGGTCCCTGGGTTTTTGGAAGAGGATGTACTTCTGTAGACAGAAGAACTCTTCCAGGTGGGAAGGGGTGAGCCCACTGCAGGCTCGGCTATAAGGGAATCGTGTCACCGAGAGAGAGAGCGCGGCGTCTCCTAGGTCCCGTGTCACAGGTGAGAGGTGCGGCAGGGGCCAGGACATGTGTGGCTTCTTATTTCCAAGGAAAATGCTTCTCTCTATGAAACTCTGCCCTCGTTCAAAAAGTCCACTCCCCAGCCCTTGCCCGTGGCTGCCCAGGGCCAGGCACAGAGTCTGGCTGGGGGCCCCTGGGCGGCGGAGGGGAGCCTGGACCCAGAAAGGGCCACCATGAACAGCTGCACAGGTTGGGCACTGCAACCCCATTAGATGGTGCTCCCAGAGGAACGTGCCTCTGGAGGCCTGTGGGGTCACCAGGCTTGTAGGGCCACCAGGTCTCAGGTCCCTCGGAGACGGAGGGGTTGTCAAAGGAATAGGCTTTGCCTTTTCTCCCTCTGGGGGACCCCTCAGGACTGCCCGGACCCCTGGCCTGACTTGGGGCCTACGAGGCAGTCCCAGAGTGGACACCTGGGCCAGCGTGGGCAGGAGCCCGGGGCTGTCCCCCCACACCCCCACAGCCCGGCCCCGGGGCCCAGGGACCCCCCAGCTCTGCCCGTGGCGGGGGCTACTCACAGTGGGGACTGTGCCCAGGGCTGGCTCGGGGCGTGAGGACCACGGGGCCGGCGAGCTCCCGGGGCGCGTAGACTGCGTGGTAGGCTGTGAGGGCGGGCGGGTCAGCATGGTCAGTACGGTCAGTGAGAGTAGGGCAGGCGGCACCCCCGCGACACCCCATGGCACCCCCCGGCTCACCTATGACGGTGACGGCCGTCCCGGCCAGCAGGGTGAAGAGCGAGAAGAACAGGGCCTGGTAGGAGTCCAGGAGGTGCTGGAAGAGGCCGGCCCCGTCTGCGCGGGGACACCGTCAGCAAGGCCAGGCCAGGGCCACCCCAGGCCCCGCCAGCCCCGCCCATCTGGAGGGTGGCCTGCCAGTGTCTGCCGGCCCCAGGATGCCCAGCAGGGCCACCAGGGCAGGGGACCCGCTCAGAGTCCACCCTGCGTCCCCTCCAGGTGGGAGGTTTCCCGTGGTGACCTGGCCCAGGGCCGGCCCAGGACGCACCTCGTGGCTGAGGAGGCAGGGAGGCAGGGAGGCCAGGAGCCCAGCCTCGAGGCCCGGCCAAGTGCCCGCCGGCCAGCTGGGGAGGCCCCGTGAGAACTCAAGCCATCGTCACGCTGCCCATGACAGGCGGCTCTGGCAATGGTGCCCGGGGACAAGAGGGTCGAAGGGTTTGGGAGCCAGAAACAGCTCAGGAGGTTGGGTCCCAGGAGGGGAGGACGCTGGCCAGGGCCCCCCGGGAGGAGGATGCTGTGGCCGGAGTGGGGGCCGTGGGGGGTCACAGGTGGACAAGAAGCCAGGGCCTGTGGGGTCCCATGGCCACTGCGGGGACCCAGGCCCACCAAGGGCCTCAGCGAGCCCAGGCACCTAGTGACCCCGACTCTGGATAAAACACTGGGGGGGGGGGCGCAGGGGCCGGAGTTCAGTCCTCGGTACCCAAAAAAGGTGACTGTCACCTCCAGGGACACCCTGCACTTAGGACCCTCCAAGTCGGCATCTGACCACAGGTTTCCACTGACCCCCGAGACCACGCTGGCCGGCCCTGCCCCTGGCCCCCCGGGTCCCTCCCGTGACGTCCCGTCCCGACACTCACAAGGACCAGCCCCACGGCGATCCAGCACCAGGGCCACCGTCACCGGGATGGTGAGGGCCTGGTTAGTGGCAGGGCTGGAGAAGGTCAGGGCGGTGGACAGAGGGCCCTGGCTGCCCGCCCTGGGGTCCGAGACGCCGACCGTGTAGGTGACGAAGCTGGGCAGCCCCAGGGACTTCTCCTTCACGAAGGCCACCACAGCGGGGGACCCGGACCTGACCTGGGAGAGACGTCAGGCTGCAGGGACGCTCCACAGAGCCGCCGGCCGGGGGACCCAGCACACGGACAGACAAACCAACAGACAAACGAGTAATAAATAAAAATTTT